CATTTGGCTTATATAGCACGCTAACGCATACGAGATCCGAGCCGTCCACTCCCTTTGAGTGAAAACCTGATGTGGTGAGTTGGAATATCAGGTCATGTGGCATACGCAGTAGGGCTGTTTAGCTCTGTCAGCCATTTCTCTCAATCTCTGCACCAGACAACTGACCGGTTCGTACAGTGGACTGGTGTCTGGGGGTGGGAAGAACGTGAAGTCGATCGTCTCGGTGTATATTCTTCACCGCAAACAATCTGACACATTTGAATCTATCAGGGTGCGCTGCCAACTGATGGGATGCTTGGGAAGCCATGAAAAGGCTGAGAGTCGCACTGCAATGGTTTCTGCATAATGTAGCCTTTGGCGGTCTGGTTCAGTTGAAATCCAAGCCCCTCTCGCCCCTTGTTGTTCGGTGGAACCCTAGTCCATTATTCGCGAATCAGACCTAAAATGCACGCGCAGGGAGCAGGACTATGACGGCAAACCTAACTGCAGGCTCATGCCACGCCAGCTACCTGCCCCTGGTCTTCTTAGCTTTGACATGATAACGGGACCAGTTGGATGACGGAAGAGAGAGTGCGGTCAATGCTGCGCAAGTCTACTATCACTTAAAACTAACTCACAAGCAAGTCATTCCCCGACGCCCACCCTGCTGTGGGGCACACGGTAGCCATAACCGAAAGCAATGGTTGAGCTGTCGATAGTCTGCTGTACAAAAATGATTAATTCCAGACAATAGCAATTCAGGTAACGGATGTATGCAAGGAATGATAGAAGATACCTGTAGTTTTTTTTAATGAACACAGGAATTCTGCTAAACTGCAACCACATAGTCATTACTAAGAATCATAAAGAGGGGAGTGTTTTTATGCTTATAAGATACCACATGTCCTGACCACTTAGATGCATGAAGCAGATATTACAATCGAATAATAAGCTAAATTAAAATAGTTTCATAGGGTTAATAGTACATGATAGTGGGAACCGATTGAGAATCATGAACCGAATGGTTGGCTTACACCTCAAGACGTACAGTCAGTGAGTGGCCTCATGAAATGATAACAGAAATTCTGGAATGTGTTATTGATTAAGGCGGACTAGTTAAATGAGGTTGTAAGGTTAATTACCATGAAGCCTCCTGCCGAGATGTTTCGGACACGCCAGCATGCAGGCTTTTGATTACACGAGTTTTAGGATACCTGCAAAATCCACACGCGGTAAAAGATTGCCGCTTAATTACGATGCGTTTTTATACTTATTTTCGATGCCCTATAAATATAAATTTATTTTGAAGACAAGCAATAAGGAATACTCTTTGCTGCAGTCATTTGGTAGTAAACCATGTCTTCTTCAATGAAAGCTTATCTTCAGGTTTTGTAAACGTTTCCCAATTTCCGAATATTTTTAAGCCCGATCTGCCTTTGCATTTGCGCTCAGAGTTTTCGGTCAACAAAATGCATGTCCTCCCTTTTAAGGAAACTATATATCCCTATACAGAATTAAAAAGACAAAAAAGGTGTTCGCAAACACTTTCAACGGATGTGGACTATAATTTACAGATCATGAGGGGCATTACTAAACGAAAGGATACAACGCGCTTTAAATGGGTATTGTAAGCCTTTGAAAAATCTCATAATGTCGAAAGTTTTGAAGTCGATAGATAGTTCATCTTCAAGTACAAAATATGAAGAGGTTATTGGCTGTCAGATGCGTGCAAAAAGGAATATTTTGGAGTCCATTTTCCAGAAAATATATTTGAATTTGTAAGGCTGTCGAAAATCAATCGGAAAATGCACACTACTTAAGTAGTTACTTCTTTTTTTTACTAATGGTGGTCTTTGCAAGTACCTAAAAACGTGCATCAAAAAGCCGGCATCTTGGCCTGCCTGAAACAGTTTGGGATTATACCACCTGGCTGTCGATATTACAACGTCACTCAAGCATTTTTTGTAATTGAAAACGCACTTCAGAAATTCGGTTAAGATCTCCAAAGTGCTCTATCTTTAAGAAATTCGAGATGTAGGTCGATTCACCAGAGAGAGATACTTGCTCTGACACCGTCAGAAATTTAAAGACTATTCAAATGAGTTGAGGTTCGCTTCGTAAATATACAGTCGGGGAACTGAGGGAGGCGGACATTCATCGCCCTTTGTTTTTTGAGACTAACAACCCCAAATAAAGAGAGGACAATATTCTGCTTCCACTCATCAACCTACCATGTTGCAATAAAAAACGAGTACACTAGACCCACCCTTTCAGGTTCTTCGACATGCTGACGCGAAAACTCCTGCAAAGTCGATTCCAGGTTGCTGATCTCCTTTCCTCGGATTTCCAGCTCTAGTTGACAGTTCCGCAATTCGGCAGTAAGCTTGGTATTGTATTCCTTCAGCTGTTCCACTTCCCTTGTTAGTTCTCCGCGGGTTTTATCACTCTTTGATAAAAATGTGTGTTTAAATAAAAGTAAACGGAGGAAACGAAGAAAGACTTGAGCAAATCAGATGCTATTTGCAGAGTATCTATATGAATGACAAGAACACGTAAAAATATATCCTCTTCAAAGAAGTACCTCAGCAAGAGCATTCTCAGTTGTTTTGTTACGTATTGACAGTTGAACCAGTTCATTTTGGGCACAGCTAAGTCGGTGGGCAAGTTCTGCCATTCGTTCCTCTATTTCATGAGCTGACGAATCAAACAGCTGCTTTACTTCCTTCTCTCGTTCAGCGGCCGACCTTTCACGCTGCAAATAGACTTCCTCAACTTGTTCAAATCTAGCAAATGCGAGCGCTGCCTGATTTGTCAATTCTAAAAGACACGTGGAAGACGTTAGGATTGCGAGTTAAAATCAAAAAAGATAAACTCAGGTACCGTTCGGAAAGACATTTGATCAGCTCATATTCGATGTTATTTACAATCCAATGCTTAACATCGTTTAAATAACAAAGGGTGAAATTGCGAATATGCCGAAAAGTCATTTTCGATTCCAATTAGTAGCTTGATAGGACATTTAGCCGTTTTATGATGACTGACGCAAAAACCGGCGCGAACAAAAGCTTGACATTTGACCGAGTTAAAGATAGCAAGTTGCCTTGCCAATAGTCAGTAAGCCTTCCTGCACATAGTGAAAGGTTTTCATACTTAGAAAAGATCAAAGTCGGATGGGAAGAATGTTAAAACACTCACCGCCACCAGTGTGTAGGAGGAAGTTAAACAAATATTACACCACTGGAAATATGAAGTGTGCTGACTAAAGGGAGCGGATTTTCTATCAATTAGCTTATTCGATAACGGGAAACGGGATTAATTAGAAAAGAGTTGACTAAGAAGCATCGAAGAAAATATAGCCCCATACCCTGAACTTGGAATGCTAATTCGTCACGCTGCCTCTCGATGTCGACTCTCTGTCGTTGGGCTTCCATGCGTAGGTCGGCCAGCTCAATACGCGAACGCTGTACAATGGCCTCTAACTGCTTCTCCATATTTAGTCGAGCATTTTCACTACTGAGTACCTTCTGCCGAGCGGCGGTTAACTCTGTCTGCGAACGTTGGACACTTTGTCGTAGAATTCGCACCTTAGAAGGAGGGATAAAAGAACACGATAAATAAAATTCCGAAAACAGAAGTTTTGGTGTTTCGGCCTTCCTGACAAAATTCCTCACTAGCCTACGATGTTACGTAAGTGGACAGAGAAAGTGGAACAAACGACGTGATAACTGAAGTCCACGGTAAAGTCAAGAGGCAGGCTTGCTCCTGGAATAAATGAAAACAAAAGACGATATGAAACTTTACACGGTGTCAAAAGTAATGGGATGCCGCTCGTCACTACGTTTCTAGTTAAATTCCGAAGGAAAGTGAATACCTTTCAAGTCAGCAACATGCCACCTCATAGAAACGGCCGAAAGAACTGGGTATCACCCAGATGCGAAGAGCTGTTAGTGAGCTGTCACTGACCAACTATCGTTCCGTTTCCAACTGTTGGCACATAATGATTATCATAACTGTAAATAACTAGGCTTACGGCCGCAGCTCGCCTGTCTGGCCATCGAATTAATGGGACATAGTGAGAAAACGCATTAATAATAGTGAAAAGTGAAAGTAAGGAGGATCAATGCATTTGGTCATCGACTTCAGCGAAGCGCCATACTAGGCACTCAATTTCACCACGCGTAGTTGAAGGGTAAACCAAAAAAATATGAAGGCAGGTTGCATGGTTCTTTGTTTCACTTGGAAGCGAAACAACCAGGAGAGAAATCGTTTCGGCCAATCACAGGTCAAAGATAAACTCGCCAGTTCGGCGGAGTCATAAAGAAAGTTCACAATTTTCTATGAAACATCAATAATAAGCAGTGAGGCGGAAAGCTCGGTTAAATTACTATAGTTATCTAATCCAAATAAAAATCTATACAAATAATGCACAAAAAGCAAAGGAAGAAAGAAGTGACTAAAGCTGACATCTGGCAAGTTAAGGTTTAAATTCAAAGGCTAACCTGTTCAGATAGGGTCTGTTGTTTGACCAAGAGCACTCCATTGTCTGATTTGGCCTTTGAAAGCTGTTCAACCACTTCAATCAAATCCCTTCTGAGCTCATTTCTAGAATGAAAAGCATATTGTTATGAATTGCCGACGCTTCAGACACTTTTTCGAACCTATGAAACATGGCTACCTTTTGATAGCAGACGTGCAAATGGTAAATAATCAGGGTTGGGCACACGGTTAGCAAGATAATATGCATAGGGTATGGTTAAGTGCAAAGTTATTATCATAGGTTGACGGTAATGCTGCTTCCAACGTCTGCAAATCGTGTGGACATGTTGCAGCCCTTTACGTATATCTCAGTTCATGTCTTAATTGGTAAAGAGAACTCGAGTGATCTCGTACTTATCTTCAAGATATGAAGGATTTTCGCGATAAAAGTCGTAAAGACATTATATATTCGTAGCATTGCCTTGCTTGGACGATTCCAGTGTGTGCTTTGAGATCAAGGCGCTGAAAATGAATTACGAGATGGTCTACAAGGCGTGGCCAAAATTATAGCCTTCGATGTATCCCTGATTTCATCCTGGATCCAATAACTGATTTGTAAAGTTCACTAGATATTTTAATTCCATTAACTATAAGTCTTTATGACGGTAATTTGAGATAAACCGACAGCCAATGAACAAGTTGCTGTAAATAAAAGTTACAGTGACCCAATTTTTGTAAGTATTTTTATTAGTAGAAGTCTCCTCGAGTTGTTCCGCGTTCGTAGAACGCGTATTATATTCGCCAGCCTACTCATTCGGGCTGCCAACTGACTTTCAGATAGGGCACTGCATGGGTCGGGTTATGGTGAGATTTCGTCCGGGTGTCAGCTGACTGATTCTTACTGTGGCGGGTACATGGACATCTGGCCGTAAACATGAACAAGTTAGAAGGGTTCATTCGCCAACG